TATAACAGCAACTCACCTTCAACCCCAGATCCCCTTACAGGCTTAAACTCAAGGGGCCCCTACACATGTGCTGGACATCTGCTCTGATGTGTGCTAATTAGCATGCATTGTAGCAGAAATGATTAATTGAGTCTGCTGGACCACGTTAATTAATGTACTCCAGCAGCCTCCATGTCATGTCTATTCCACATCCTTGCACTTCAAAACGGTGGCGGGGACGCTTTAATTAAAGCTCATCAAATGAGCTTTAGCTGAAATGCCCCTGCTGGCATTTTGAAGCATAGGATGCTGAATACACATGATGCTGCAGGTGCTTTAATTAGAGCAGCTCTCAGAGCCACTCTAATTGAATCACCCCCCACTACCCGCACTGCAGAGCACGTGCATAGACGCCCAAACTGCTTATGTATGTTAAAATCCAAGTTGTCTTTTCAGTGCTATTTGAACCAGAATTAGTCAGCCTGGGATAAATGCAGCTTTCTGCATTGCAGACAAACCCTTGTAGTCTCAGGCGTGTCTGTGTACAGAGCCAATCTACATCTTGCAGCCTCTTCTCTCAGCATCTGTGGTATCTGCCCATTTCACTGGCTGTGGCATATCCACAGCCCCCATCAAGCTAAATAGGACTAGTCTCTTCCAGGTTGGTTTGAGGCTGTATGTGCAAGCCCACCCCACCCACCCCTGTGCTATCACTTCCTGCTCTATGGATCAGTAGCCCTTCACCAGCCCTAAGTTCACTGGTGACATGGCACCTGGCTGCCTTTATCACAGGGGCACTGGTGTAAGTACTCAACACTTCCCAGCCCTGGCTTCCAAGCTGATCAAGCCCAGTAGCCACACAATAATGAGCTCTACACTGTTCATTTTAATAGATTCACTAATAAATATTATAATTTATGCAGTGACTCATTTGGATCCTGGTTGCTATCATGGTGGAGCCTGACATATGTTAATTATCCCTGACACTGCTGCAGCTGGGATCAAGGCTAATTGACAACCTCACTCAGTTCTTCACTGGCCCAGCAGGCAGGAGTGTGCTAGGAGGGAATAAAAACAAATCAGTATGTGGAAGGGATTGTTGGTACCCAGAGCCTAGAATCTGGAAGGGAGAGGCACTGGGAAATGGGGCCCAACCTGTCATTCACAAAGCCACCAGGAGATGGCACAGTTGGAGATGGCCTTCCTCCTCCAAAGGGAAAGGAGGCCCCTCAGCAAACATATAGCTTTCCCCATACTTACGGTAACTGCATTTCCCATGGAAAGCAGGTGACACCTGATCTCTGGAACTACTGACTCCTCTAGGAGCTATGAAACAGTGAACAAAAGATTGTGCTTGCCAAAAATGAGTGGTCCTGGTCGAGCTGGAGGATTGCACAGACAATGGGACCACTTTGAAGCCAGCCAGACCAGCAGCGAGGGTGGTCACTATATTATACCCCCTAAAATTGGCACCCAGGGCTGGTGTCATGTCCCACTTGCCCACTCCTAGTTATACTGTTAGTCCAGGGGGCACATTTCTATCCTCTTACCTCACATGGGTATGCTTGTGATCTTATTCCACCCTGCTCAAGTCCCTGAAAAACAGTTAATACACTGTAATATGCTTTTTTTTCAGGGACTTGAGCAGGGTGGAATAAGATCACACTTAGCAGGGGTAGATTAAGAGTAATTGGTGCCATAGGCCCGGGGCCCTCCCCATGGCCTGGGGTCCCCCCCGACCTGCACCCTGCCCAGCAGCCATGAGCTCTATCCTCGGCTGATGCAGCGGGAACAGCGGCCGGAGCAGGAGTCGCGGCTGCCTCCGCCCACAGGTCTGTACTGGAGCTGCCACCAGGGTTACAGAGCCACTGCCCACCAGGCATGTGCAGCATGAACCGAGCTCCAGGGGTAGTCCCTTGCCCCACTGCAGCTCAGTCTGGCTGCAGTGATGCCTGGCAAATGGCGCCCAGCAGCCACGGCCCGCTGCGTTACACATGTTGGGACTGGTTCAGCTGCTGGTTTTGTCCGTGCCGAGGCAGGGGCACAGTTGACCTGGGCCCCTCTGCCTCATGTGTTAATCCCCCCATGACACATATGCACTTTTTAGGCTGAACAGAATCTGGCCTCAGGCCTGGGAATGGATGCTTACTTAACTTCCATGAGCACTACTCAGCAACATGTGAAACTCACAGTATACAAGAGATCTGGATTCCTTCCACTGGGGACTGATACAACAACTTGCAACTCTACTTTGATGGTGCTAGTGGTTGCTCTTGAGAGGTCATAAAAGCACCCTGAAATGTAGGGGCTCATATTCATCTCATTTATCAGGAGACAGGACAGTGACAAGGTGGGATTTTCCCAGCAACCAAATGTACATAGGACTGCTGGCAGAATCCAGGGAGCCCAGAAGAAAAAAAAGGGCTGGAGGGAAGGCAAAACTGGTGCTATGGCATGGAAAACCCTCCTTGGTTATATTCATCCAAGACTATGGGGTGTGGGGGGGCAGACAGAATACCCTGTTGGGATTGGAACTCTGCCATCATGCAACATGCATGCCCACCTGGAAGGCAACTTCCACGACCCCCTTGGGGCTGGCATATCTCATATTCTTTCAATGCAGTAATGACATTCTCTCTAAAACAAGGCGACTGCATCTCAGAACAAGCCCATACATTTAAATAGTGACTGCTCCTTTGCTGTGCCATCCACCTGACTGTTTGTTCTCCTTGTGGCAGTAACAGTGTGGCCCCTTCTCTTCGTAGGGGTCCTAGTAAGCAGCCCCTGGTGTAGGGGTCCAGTGGAGGGCAACGAAAATGGTGAGGGGGCTGGGGAACAGGACTTCTGAGGAAAGGCTGAGGGAACCGGGTTTGGTTTGCAGAAGATAAGACTGACGCAGGATTTAATAGCAGCCTTCAGCTACCTGAAGGGGGGTTTGAAAGAGGATGGAGCTAGACTGTTTTCAGTGGTGGTAGATGACAGAACAAAGAGCAACGGTCTAAAGTTGCAGCAAGGGAAGTTTAGGTTAGATATTAGGAAGAATTTTCTCACTAGGAGGGTAGTAAAACACTGGAACAGGTTACCAGAAAGGTTGTTGAATCTTCATATGTGGAGATTTTTAAGATCTGGCTAGACAAAGCCTTGGCTGGGATGATATAGTTGGGGATGGTCCTGCTTTGAGCAGGGGGTTGGAGTAGATGACCTCCTGATGTCCCTTCCAACATTAATTTTCTATGATTCTATTTTTAGGTAGTCCATAAGGAGTACCTTTACCTTGCCTTCAGACTAACACAGCTAATTACCTCTCCCTGTTTTCTTCATTAGGGTTGCTTCAGTGTGCTGCAATCAAGCAGTGTTGATTGGGGGACACTGGGAAATTAGATGAGATCAAGCTCATGAAAAGCATGTTGAGTTCCATTATGTGTAATTACATGTGTAGTTCCAGGAAGGATTCAGGTGTCTAGAGCTTGGTGGCTACTTTGCAGTTAGAAGCCAAACCCATTAAGTGTGGCTGCAGTACACACTGCATAAAGCTGGTGTGGATTCCTATGGTGGATGGATTCCTGCAGAACTTGACTGAATAAGCCCTCAGTGCCCAGACACGAACTAAATATTCCACATCTCATAAGTGGCAAACTAGGAGAGGATCCTTTGGAAACTAACTTTCAGGGGGTGTTAACCTGGCTGAAGCAGCCCAGGCTGAAGCAGCAGGAGGATAAAGATAACCAGAAAAATCTTTGGCTAGCTGATTTATGATTGTCCAGAAGGATTTGACTGGGGAACAGGGAGGGTTCCTCACAGATTTGAAATAACTCCTTCAATCCCTACAGAGCAGGGCTGTCCAACCAGCTGGAGATGGCACAGAGGTGTGCACACACAGTGATTCCAGCAGGCAGTAAACAGCACATTCTGGAAGGCCCTATAGTACAGGGAGCTGGGAGTAAGGGGGAGTATCTACACTGGCTAGTACTATGGAAGAAAAAGACTTGGGGGGCATCATTGACCACAAGATGAACATGAGCCTGCAATGCGATACTGCGGCTGGTAAGCGACCAAAACCCTGGCTTGCATCCATAGATGCTTCTCAAGCAGATCCTGGGACGTCATTCTCCCATTGTACTCGGCCTTGGTGAGGCTGCAGCTGGAGTACTGCGTCCAGTTTTGGGCTCCACAATTCAAAAAGGATGTGGAGAAGCTTGAGAGGGTCCAGAGAAGAGCCATGCGCATGCTCAGAGGTCAGGAAAACAGACCTTACAACGACAGGCTGAGAGCTACAAGGCTCTTTAGCCTGGAAAAGCACAGGCTCAGGGGTGATCTGATGGCCACCTATAAGTTTATCAGGGGTGACCATCGGTATCTGGGGGAACATTTGTTCACCAGAGCACCCCAAGGGATGACGAGGTCGAATGGTTATAAACTACTGCAAGACCGTTTCAGGCTGAACATCAGGCTTGATGCCTACCTGACTGGGGTCAACTGAGCCCAGTTTTCCTCCTGCCCAGGCAGGGGGTCAGACTTGAAGAGCTACAAGGTCCCTTCCGACCCTACTTCTATGATATGATTCTATAAGGAAGAATTCCGAGCCCCTGAGGTCTGGAACAGCCTGCCATCAGAGGTGGTTCAAGCACCTACATTGAACACCTTCAAGAAAAAATTGGATGCTTATCTTGCTGGGATCCTATGACCCCAGCTGACTTCCTGCCCTTTGGGCGGGGGGCTAGACTCGATGATCTTCCGAGGTCCCTTCCAGCCCTAATGTCTATGAAATCTATGAAATCTCTGTCAGTTCTGCAATTGGAAGGCTCTGTCCATACACACTGCAGTGTAGGAATGTTGCTTCTTGTAAGCAGTTTAGTGGCAGTCAAGTCCAGGCCTCTGACAGCAGCATTGTACATAGTTTTAAAATGTACAACCAAGTACAAACACAGCCTGTGTTTAAAGCCAAGCAGGCACTGATGTTACCAATTGATCCACCAGAAATGTTCATGTCCACCAAGAACGAGGCACAGCTCCAAGTCAAAATTCATTTATTAGTAGTGAGGATCAAGGTCATTCCTGGTTTCCCTCACAGCCCATTTCAGCAACAACCTGGTGGGGGAGGAGAGGAAGCAAGTCCACATGGGAAAGGAGCATAGGCTAAAAACAGGTGTCAGGTTTATCTGTTGTCCCATGGTTTGACTCGCATCAATACAGGCATAGGACAGTCATTTACACATGCAATGTGAACTTCCATTAACTTGAATTAGCCCCAGTTGTTGAGGGGAGAGGGGTTATTTCAGTAAATCACAGGCTCCTAAAGTGAGACAATGGGCCTGTTGGTCAGTGGAATCCCAGAATAAAATGCTTTGTCCCAGAAGAAATCTGAGGTCTGTTTTAAGCCATACTTCCCTCTCCTGGAGGCCTCCAGTGAACAGTGCAGAAGTGAAGCTATTTCTTCCACTACTGAAAGAACTACTCCAGTGTTTTACATCTACAGCACTGGTGCCAAACATGTTGGTTTCAGGAGGCATGCTGCAGGCTTGCACTGACTGCTGTAAAATAGCATAGGCTTATTTAAAAAAAAAATCTAACTGTGCAGATGCTTTTAAGTGGCATCGAGAAAGGACTTTTTGGTTTCATCTTACTGTTATTAATGAACCATTTCCAAGTTCCAGGCTTAGAGTCTAACTGCAAATCAGCAGCTGCCATCTTAAGAGCTGTCTCAGGCTGCATTAAAATGGGTTAACTACAAACTGTACTTTGTAGGGAGAACTCTATGGACTGTAGATCACATCTGCCTTAGCATCAAGTGAAGCTGAGAAGGAGCCAGTCACACTTGTCTTTGGCCTACATCCCCATGGAAAGACAGGTCACAAGGAAACCACATTTGCAGTAAGGCCTGTCATTGTAAATATCCCAGAGAACATGGGTGGTGTTAGCAAAGGCTGTGAGGCTGTGTGCTGGTCTGTAGATGTGTCTCTAGGTAGTGCTCCCTCTGGCGTTATTCAGGGACGGTATTAGAGAGCCTACTGATTGATGTTTCAGCATGGCATTGGCTCCTCCAGCTTTTCATCAGCTCATTCTGATGATGAGTGACAATGGCAGTGCTATGTTGGCAGCAGCAGTGAGGTTGGCTGCAGGGTGATGGGCAGAGGTGAAAGTACTTTGCAGCTCTGGCATGTCAGGGAAAACTGCAAAAACAAAACTGAGCAACCTGCAGATGGTTGGGCTGGTAAACATACTGCCCCCTTTTACACTGGTTGGATTTCTGCAGCACTGGCACCTCCAGGTAAAAGGGTTCACTATTCACAGCCTTGTCTTCCTGGCCATTTACCAGGCAGCCCTCACACAGGCAGTAGGCTTCCACTATCTTCTGAGGGTATCGGTTGGGGTCTTCGCTCACTCTGTTAAAACAAAGAGAATTTGAAACTTGGTCCTAGTAAAACAGAGCGCTTATTCAGGCACCTCAGTTAGGGGCTGCCAAAGCCATTCAAGAATGATTAATAATGCAGCTCTGCATTTGTCCAGTGCCACCATGTTAGGAGCAACAACAGAATCCAGAGGTCAATCCCTGCCCTGCTCTCCAGACTAAGAGAGCTCTAGCTTACAAGAATGGGAACAGAGGCACAGAGAAGGGCAGAGTGCCCTCTCACACCAACAAATAACAGGTCAGAACTATCTAAGTGAACACTATATAAAGGAGTTATAGCTTGGCTGCTCCACCTCTGCATCCAGAACTATAAGCATCAAGAGGATGTCCATCTGAGGTGCAGCCAGATAGCCAAGGAGACATCAACACTAGCATTCAGCTTCTCTACAGAGCATGGCCCTTTAATATTTAAGACAAAGGAAATGCAAATCCACATCCCAGTGAATGAGAGCTGGAGGGTTTCCAAGATCTGAAGTCCAGTGACATGGCCTTATATTCAGAGTTGCTGAGACAGTCTTTGCTCCTCTATCAGCAGCTTACCTGTATGACCAGGGTGAGGTACTCTTGTCCTGGAGACGGGAAGAGGTCTGGTTGACATTTACAGGGCATGCCTTCAGTTCCTCATCAGGCAAAACCTCATCTGTTTGAGCCAATAAGCTAGCACCAGAAGCAAGATAGGGGTTCAGTATGGATTCTAGCTCTGCATCTGAAGGTTCCTGGCAGGGGACGTGGGCACTGAATGTGTGGCGAAAGACTAAGCATAGCAGAACTTGAGCTGTCACTTTTACCTGGGGAGCAAACATATATGGAAGAGATAGAAATTTAGGGGAAAGAG